GGCTGCTCAAGGCTATCCAACATGGCCTTGAATAGATCCAATGATGAGGCACCCACAGCTTCTCTAGGTAAGCTCTTCCAATGTCAACACCGTCATTGTAAAAAATGCCTTCCTTATGCCCAATCTAAATATCTACTCTCTCCCAGCTTAAAATCATTGCCCTCTGCCCCGTCACCACAGGCCTGGGTAAAAAGCCTCTCCCCATCTTTCTTATAAGTCCCCTTTATATACTTAAAGGCAATAATAAGGTTCCCCCAGAGCCTTCTCTTCTCCATGCTGAACAACCCCAGCTTTCTCAGCCTTTCTTCACAGGAGAGATGTTCCACCCCTCTGGTCATCTGTGTGGCCCTCCTCTAGCAGGTCCACATCCTTCTTGTACTGGGGATCTCAGAACTGGATGCAATGCTCACGAGAGGGAAAAGAATTACTTTCCTGAATATGGTGACTACACTCTTGTTAATAAAATCCAGTATGTAGTTAGATTCCCTTGCCACAAGGGCACACAACTGACTCATGTTCAATTTTCAAATACCCACAAGGCTCTTCCACAATGCTTCTTTCTAGCTGTTTGCCCCCATCCCATGCTTGTACTGTTACTCCATTACAGGTGTAGGACTCTATACAGCAACAAGCAAGCATACAACACTATCCAAAACCTGACAAATAACCAGCTTCAGAGGTGGACCACGTCTCACCTTCTATTTCATTGCACATAGTTACCTTTTCCATGGTCTTAAAATTCTGAGAGATGATTTTTAAAAACAGTAAAAATAACAAACAAACAAACAAACAAAAACCCAACAACAAACCAAAACCTCACCTTTAAGAGCTGCACAGTGTTTCTTAATTGCAGGAGGAGTAAGATGCAAAAAATTGGGAATCTGAAACAGACATATTAAGAGTTACCAAAATAATAGCTCTTTGTCTGTTTATAAATAAAGGGGCATTACTGAAACCTGATTATACTTTCAACTTTTGTTAAGGCAGTAGAATACCCTTAATAAAATATTCAGGTAAGAAGACTATTCTCCAGCCCAATTTAACAAAAGACTTAAGCTAGCCCCATTACAAAGGTACAGGCATGATAGTCGTAAATAAGTTTCCTGATGTGGTTCATTAATTACACTTGTATTTGTTACCATTTATTATAGAAATTAAGAGTATTATCCTATTTAATAAAAGAAAACAGTATCCAATACAAATATTCCAATCAAGGCAACGCAGTCTTAGTGAATAATAATAAAAGTTAGCACATACCAATAACATATGTCTTACCTTCAAAAGTTCTAAGTTGCCTTCTTTTGGTGGAGGTACTCCTCTCTTCACCGGGTAACCCATTCGAATTGGGAGAGGCACAGAGGCAGGTTTAAACACAGCTGCTGTTGGATAAACACTGGTCCAGTCCTGATCAACAGCCATCTTCTCAGTTCTGGGAGGTATATGCTAATAAATTGGAAATTATAAAAGTCTGATGGGAGACACTTTTTTTTGAGACAAAGCAGAAGCAACACATGGCCCCAATTATTTCAGGAATAAATTTCCATAGCTAGAAATTTCAAGACACCTTTACATCAAAAGTTAGTATTCATCTGTAAAGAAATTTTTAAAAGACAGCCTAGGCAGCAGGTCTTTCCCAATCTTCAACTGCATTTTACTTCAGAAATGCTTAGAAAGAAGTACATTTAGTATGTCCCAGGCCCACTTTCACTATTTGCTTTTAAAAATCATACCTAATACACTACTTTTAAAATTTTTATGTGGAATAAATAAGAAAATTCCTAGTGATTAAATATTCAGGTATGAATTTTAATTCTACTTTTAAAAAACAATTTCACTTATGCACAAAACTAGATGTCTTAGTTATGCCAGAAAACAAGCACTACAAATCCTGTAAACTCAAACTAAAACCAACATTAAAATGTCTGATTTTATTTTAAATGCAACTTTAACTTACTTTTAAGACTTGCAGTAAAAAGTGTTAATACAGACTAACTGTTAGCTTGTTACTGTTAATGGTTTTGCCTTTATAAGAACATGGAGTGAAAACAGCTGGGACATTCAAGAAGCCAAGTGCTGGCTCTGGGATAATCACAGTGGATTGTTTCACCAGGCTGTGACTGCAGAAGGGGTTCCTATACAAACTGTTAAGACATACAGCTTAGAAAACTTTTTCAAACACCTCAATTAAGTGCAAACAGTTTCAGTGCTTACTGATCTTATGAACTGTTGTGTCCTGCCTCTTCTCCTTGCTAAAGCTGAAAAAAAAGAAAAACATTTTCAATACAAACTGTTATACTCTAATTTAAACACTTTCAGACATCTCCCTTCTAAAAAAAGCCCAAACAACACCAAAACAATGTGGCCTTTATAATACTCAGACAAACAAAGGTGGATCTGATTATATTTTCAAGTATCCTGTTTCAACTTGGGATTTGTTTGGTTTTTAATTATTGCTACATTACAATACAGTATGTATTCAGCAAAAAACACTGAACAGGATTTGGAAGTGGATGTTTGGGTTCTTTCTGCCCCATTAATCTGACTTCCACACCTACCCCACATAAGCCTTTGAAAGGCTTGTGAATTTCAGTTATTTTGTTTTCCTTGTCTAAGTACTTTATAGATATAGTTCTGTTTCTCCTCTTTTTCCTATATACAAATCTAAACTGAAGAATACATATGGCGCTCTTCAACAAGTAATACACAAGCATTCTTTTACCCCTTTATCTGTTGGTTTTTGCAATGCTTTCACAAACAGACACACTTCATCATATCAATCTCATTATTTCTGTTACAAACACCTACAATTTCAGGGCAGGAGACATTTTACTTCTGCAGTGCCACATCCTCCAACATCAAACATCTCTTACAGATTACTTACAGATCCTTTCTGCCCACCCACCCTTGGGAAGAATGTTGCTACAACCCTGGCAAACAAGTTTCCATTTGACCTCAGAACCTCCTGAAGCTCCAGTCTGAGGCCAGGCATGACATCAAATGTTTAACATGAGTGCACATCCCATAACAAACTGAAATTCTTGTTTGCAATACCTAAAACCAGGCAATATGCTGCAGGTCCACCGTAATCCTGAGTGTCCACCTCTGAAGCCCCCAACGTAAGACCTGTTGGAGTGACTCCAGAGAAGGCCACAAAGATGCTTCAAGGGCTACAGCACTTCCCCTATGGAGACAGGCTGAGAGAGCTGGAGTTTTCCAGCCTGGGAAAACCTCATAGCAGCTTCCAGTGCCTAAAGGGGGGTTGCAAAAAATTTGGAGAGGCCCTTTTTTACAAGACTGTGTGAAACAGGACAAGGGCAAACAGCTTTAACCTGGCAGAAGGGAGATTTAGATTAGATATTAGGAAAAAATTCTTCACTATGAGGGTGGTGAGGCCCTGGCACAGGTTGCCCAAAGAAGCTGTGGCTGCCCCATCCCTGGCAGTGTTCAAGGCCAGGCTGGATGGGGCTTTAAGCAACCTGGTCTAGTGGAAGGTGTCCCTGTCTGTAGCAGGGGGTTGGAACTGGATGATCTTCAAGGTCCATTCCAGCCCAAAACAGTCTGTGATTCTATGATCCTTTGAATCTAGCAGTGTCTAGCAAACATCAAGTTGCTTACTTCTGTCTTCAGACTATTCACATTTGCACTGCCAAAATTCATAACCTTTATCACAAAAGACTTCAAAGATAAAATAAACCCCCTCCTGCAAATATTTGCAAACAAAACGCCTTAATCAGAGCGGCCTGTAGCCGGGAAGGAAGGAGGGCCACAGGCCTGAGCTCGCCGCCCGCTCCCGGAACCCTCCTACCCCGGAGCCCCCAGCCCCATACGGCTGCACCCCTGCCGTCACTACAACGTACGCCTGGTTGCTCTCACCTTCCCCCTGCTGTCCTTCCTTACCGCTCACCGCAGGCGCGGAGGAATAAGCCGCGGCCGCGAAGCGAGACGCGACCACAGCCAGCCCGCGGCACCGGGATAGCACAACCCAGCAACCACCTAAAGCCGCGCCACTGACAGGCGCCATCTTGGGAATTGCCGCACACAGGCTCCCCCCACAGCCAACCTCTCGTCACGATGGTAGCCGGCTCGGGCCACACCAGCTGGAAAAGCGAACGGGAGCAGTTCCCCGCCCTCAAGGAGGATGGGAGTGGAGCGTGCTGCGGTCAGCGAGGGAAGGGGAGTCTGGACCCCAGAGAGGCTCCAGGGGCGGGACGAAACTATGGGAGTGAGCTTACGACCCCAGAGAGCGGGCTGTAGGGTCGTGGTTGGCTCTTGTGTGGTGCCTCCGCCATCTTAGTGCGTGTAGCTCCCGCCCCGGCGGGGGGTGCCCGGCGGATTGCAGGCTGTGGCCGGAGGGGAGTGATAGGGGTTTGTGCGGGTGTCTCTTTTCACTAAGTCAGTTTTTTTTCTCTTGCAAATAAAAATTCAATTTCTCAGTCCCTGAATGCGCTTTGTATCATTAAAACAGGGAGTAGCTTCGCCAGCTTACTCTGAAGCAACTTTCCGTGCAGTTCTTTAGCAAAACGCAAACAGGTTCAGCCCTGTGTGAACCTGGACTGGACTGCTGGTTTTCTTCAGTGACAGCTTTTTTCTACTTTTTAGAGCTTGTTGCATGCAAGAGTTAGTGTTCTTTATAGGAATATACTTGTATCCCTGGCTGTGCTCAAGGAGTTCTTGGCTTTTCATCTATTTGCTTCAGGTTACAACATAGCTATAATGTATTTTACCCTTGCATTATTGATATAGCATAGAATCGTAGCATGGTTTGGGTTGGAAAGGACCTCAAGGCCACCTAGTCCCAGCGCCCCTTGCCATGGGCAGGGACACCTCACACTAGACTGTTGCCCAAGGCTCTTTCTAGACACAGTGCTGTTTGTGTTAACTTTTACTAAAGAATGTGAACATCAAATTGTCTACTTCAGAAGGTTTTTTTTAAAGAAACATGTATGGGATGTTCAAGTTGATAGAATAAAGAGCTCTCGAGAATCACAACTTCTTCCAGAACCCTTATTGTCAAACCAGCCTCTTTTCTACAGCTACTTTTAAGCAGATCGAGTTGTGTCTCATCACAGATTTCTTTGACTTAGCCAAGCTAAACACAGCCCCACATTTCTAAAAGGTGGACAAAACTGAAGTGCCCCAGATCCAGAGTGTCTTTCCTGAACTCATCATATTCAGCTGATTCATCACCATGTGTTACCACTTGCTTGTAAATTGCTGATGCTACAGAAATACAGAACTACATGAATAGGCTAGGAAATGCACTAGGATGAGAAGGATCTCCACAGCCACTAAGTTTTGATCAAAATCTTCCATCGGATTCTTTTCCCATTTCGTTTTGTTTGGCTTCTCCGACAGATGTCTACCTAAAAAAATCCAGTCCATGCACAGCAAGCTGATTTCTTATAAAAGAAAAGCAGGGAAAAACCTGCCACACATTATTTTTGCAGATGTTGGTCTTCAGTTAATTAATGTTTGTGGCCATTTTTTGTTTTTATTCAATGTTTTGTCCTAGCAAGCTTTACCAGATGTCTCAAAAAAATAATAACCAGCATCGTCTGTGTTTTTATAGTTAAATGCTTCATCTGAATGTTTTTTTTGGTTTTGTTTTTTTTTTTTTTTCATGAGCAATAGCCTAATTTTATCACAGAGAAACTCGTTAAGGTTAAACAGATATTCGTAACACTACTGCTATAGTGATCCACTAACAAGCTCATTAACTAGAGACAAACAGACCTATAGACTGGCCTTACGAATTTACCTCAGGATACATTCCTTGCATACTTTGTTAGCATACAAGTGTTCCTTCTTTCAAGTTGCACATACATTTTGAAAAGCCCTTCCAGTTACAGTACAACTGAAGCCACTTCATTTTTATTTGAAACTATGATTTTGCAAAAATGATATTTGGGGAACAAGAGCAGACATGTTTAGAAACTCAGATAAGCAGAAACATATTGGAGATGTTAGATAAGTGTATGTTTATGTAGCTAAATCATAGATTACATTACTACTATTTTTCAAATTTTGTGATTTCTTTCCCATCTTCTTAGTGAAAAAGCCAGCATTTACAAGGGCTCTGTCATCTCTCTCAGTAAGAGATTATGGTTCATCTTTAATTTTTCCAGTCAGATTTGATTTCACATGACCATTCAATAAGTAAAAATTTACTGGTGAAAAAGGGAATTTCCTACTATGATTGAATCCCACCCCTGGTTAACATTCTGAGTTCACAGAGCAGTGGCATTGTAATTACCAGGTAGCTATATACCCTACTGCCTGTACTAAGCTAAGTCAGCCTGGGTTAATTTGATTGCCTGGAACACAATAGGAAGACACTTGGTCAGCCTCTCTGTGCTCGAGGTCTTAAAGTCTGTGCAGAATAGGTTATGAATACTGAAGCCTGACTTTCTGATCATGTTGCACATACTGTAGAATAAGTAAAGAATTTAGAGCTACCAGAGAAAGTAATAGGTAGTTGTCTTAAATTACAGGACATAGATGAAATAGGAGATTTCTTGCTAAGGATATTCTCCATTTGGGAATGAGGTGTATAATTTCAGAAGAATTACTGCCTTGGGCTCCAGATCCAGTACAGAAAGAGAAGGTAATGTGGACCTGTGACATTAACAATTTCAAGTTTAGTTTACTTTTCTTTAATGTCAGCTTAGTAGTCAATTAAAGGTAGTATAAAAAAGCCTACAGGAAGAAGTTTTGTGGGAATCTTTTTAACAGAATATCTGACTTTTTAAACTCATACATGTAAATGTAAAATGTGCAACTGCACTTATCCTGCACTTATGATCTTTGTCAACTTTCCCTACTTCCTCTTCAGTTATAACACACAACTCCTCTGTAAAAAGTCTCTCTTGAAGAAATAATTACATTTTTATCAATCTTTTCAAACATACCTGTTACAAGAATCCACTTTTAATGATACTCTGTTGCAACCTCAGTACCAATAAAAGCATCTTTCTCCTCCAGTGCATTGCTAATGATTTAAACAAACCCAATAGAACAATGCTAGGACACTTAATATAATTGAAGATAGGAATCAAGTAACAGCTGAGGTTCACTCTACAAGAATTTATATTGTCTCTTATTGTTTGAAGGCTCTCCATAGCTGCTATCTGATACCTCTTCATTAATTAGAATAGGTACAATATTTCAATCAGTAATTTTGTCTTTTATGCAATATAAGCATTTCAAGAGACACTTTGCCATATGTGGTCGCACTTTATTTTAGAACGTACAATTTTTTTAGTGTTCTTATTCTTTTTCTGGAGGTATTAAAAATACTATGGCTTTTTATGAAGATGTATTATGATTATAATTGCCTTAAGAATTCTGCTGACCTAAGTAAACAGCACTAAACTTAAAAGACCAAACACACCTTAAACTTTAGATCAAGCTGTTCTCTACTGTCTAGATAGAATAACATAAGATCAGCAGAATTTGGCTTCACACTGTAAAAAATAACTCCCATGGAATGTATTATAATTGTTGCTTGATTTACCATAGTGCCTAAAATGGCAAACATGTTCAGGAGCTTATGGTGCTGCTTTCAATAAACAAAATATTCTTAATCAGGATATAATGCTGTGTTAGAAAATGCACCCACATGATATAAACTTCTCCTTATTTTCAATATTTCAATGTAATAATTCTCATCTTTCCAAAAGCCTACTGAAATGACAGTGCAATTAGCAAGGTTTTCTACTTTGTCACAATTATTTCATCACAGTGTGCCATTATTGTCTAAAAAGTGAGGTTAAGAACAGTGGTGCCTGAATCCATGACATTCCAGAGTTATTTCCTTTCTGCTATGGATCAGATCTAATTTTGTTGGGCCCAACATTGTCTTTACCATAAAACTATTAACCAAACAGATCACTGCTCTGTGCGAATGAGAGCAGCATACACTTCCGTAGCACACACAGCCCACAGTGGCATTGGCAAACCATGGGTCTAATAGAAGTTTGTGCATTTTAAACTTACATGAGCCATGTTTCACAAGTCATGGAATTGAATACTTTTCACAATTCAAAAGCAGCCTAATCTGAAGAACCATTTTGAAAACAGGAATTCTTTTCTTTTATCAGGACTAACTACGGAAAAACTTATATATGCTCCTTGCTCACTTATGGAGGGTGTGATCTGAGAGCTTTTCTGCCCATCAGATGCTTTGCACATTTCTGCAGGAGTTGAGGAGGGTGAAGGTTCCTTCTCAGGTGACTGCTGGTGGTCGTATGCCATCTCCAGAGCGAAGAGGGTTGGGAGGGGATGGGGGGGCTCGCTGTGCAGGATATTCGGGCACTCTCCAGGGTGCTGAATCCCTTGAACAGGCTCTGGGAGGAAATTGAAGTGCACTTTCAATACGCACAGTCTTGTGCTTTCCCCCTCTTGTCATTCTTATATGCAGAGGACGGCCACAAGGCCTGTGTCTATGGACAATACCACCGGGTGATTACAGTGCTTTTACTGTTTCCAGGCAGAAAACCATACTCTTCAAAGGAAGGAGCTCTTTTTGTCAATGGATATTTTACATTGGTAGCCTTCTCACTCTTCTGCTTGGGCTGCATTTTCACCATGTTGCCCAGTGCTTTAATATGGGACGTGTAATAGCATTATTTTACCTGTCACTGCAACCAGCACTTCTCCCATTTTCATTGCACAAAATGGCAGAGTTTGCCTGGATAGAGGGGATGGCTGGGTAACACAAAAGATTAATGAAACCAAAAAAACAAATGGAGGAATAACATATAGTTGGCTTTACTTGGGGATTGCTATGTCAGTTGTCAGTGGGTTTTACTTCAACAGAGCTAGCTGTTTGTCTTTATAGTCAACGTTTGTTGAGTAGCTTTTTAACCAACTAGTCAAAATCAGAATTAGAGACTTCCGAAAGAAACTTTCAGCCCATATGCTTGCAGTGTTGATGAAATTTCAAAAAATGAAATGGACGAGTATGGTAGGAACAGGCAGACAAACTGATCTGAAGTTGCTACTAGTTCCCCCTATACTGCTCATATGAATTAATTAATTAATATTTCCACCAGGTATAGATTTTGTTTAATTGCAGTCAGCATAACAGCCATATTTCATAGTATACGATCTACTAGATCTTAGTATAAGATCTATAAATATATGATATATATCATGCTAAGAGACTGACATTTTATTCACATCACAGTTGTTACTGATTACCTGAAGAACTTGCGTATTCTTTGGTTTTCTAGTAAAACATTTTATTTTCAGTTTGAACAGAGAGAAAAAAAATTGCATAACTGAAAGAGTCATCTTCATTTCTTATAGCAATTCCATGCTGGAAATGAGAGATTTATATAATTGCTAGATACTACTCTGGGTCAAGCAGTCAGCCTTGGAGACTTTCTATATTAATACTAAAATTATGAAGCAGTGCCAACATGTATAAAAGGCAATTTAGCATTTCAGATCTTTCCCCATTTAATAAAATGCTACAATAGATTTTACTTGACAAGCTTTAGGTAGTGAATGGAAGCCCAGTGTCACAATCTGCTGATTTTTTATGTACCATCCTTCCAAAATCATATATACATCATGATAATTTATCTTCAGCCTGTGCTTGCAAAGAAGAATATTTGAATTCATGGTGCGCATCGCATGGATTGCAAAGTGCTCTACAGACAACTGAGCTATCTAGCATATTTGCAAGACAGGTAGCACCCCATTTTCAAATTGCAGTTCAAAAATGAGCAGTACAGGAAGTAATGTTATATAAATTTGGAGCTCAAGTCTATACCCCTTTCAAAATCCCTAATTCCCCACAGTAAGCTTTGATGACGGTTGGCTCACCAGGCTGGGAAGCACAAGCAGAAAGCAAGGGTTGGCATTTTGCCCCTTACTAGCAGCTGGGGCCCAACCCGTTGAAGTCATACAACATGCTGAATTTGTGCCCTAACATGATCATTGCTAAGAAAAGATTCTGCAGCTAAGCCAGAATGGTACATGGCTCTCAGCAGTGTCTAAAATTTAGGTATCCAGTTCTGGCAGTAGAATTCACTTCCCAAACCCCAAAAATGCATGTTCGGGAACACTGCATGCAGAAAGCCGAGGTCCTGAGAAAGGAATTTGAAATGAACAGAGGAGTGTGGGGATGTTTCACAAGCCTTGTCTATTATTTACCTTTCAAAGTATTTTCTAATATTTGGGTTCCATATTATTTTTTTGTATTTCTTGTATGACTGATTAATGCTTTTCTTCTAAAATATTACCCCCTGAGGACCCAGTGATGATGGTATCAATAGAAAATGGAGTTGGTCCTGTATTTAGGGTAGTTTCCTGAGAAGTATCTCCTTGTCAAGAAGTCAAGAAGTGATTAAAATCTGCATCTCAAAACCAGACATTTCCCTGTTCCTCCCCATACTGGCCTTTTAGTTATGAGTTATCATACTTTCTGTGCCGAGTGCTAAATACAGTGCTGTCAAGTGTGGGGTAGATATGCTCTGTAAGCATGTGGACTGCATCAGGCACATCAACGTTAAATATGAGATGACAAGTGAGCCCAGCCATAAAAGCCACACTTTTGTTTGGCCACATTTTTTTCAGGGCATTATATGCATGTATATAGTCTTATCAGTGAAAGTTAAGCAGCTGATATTCCTGAAATCATGCACTTGCATTTCACAGAAGTCATAAATTAGTCAACTGCTTGAATTTGAGAGTTTGACCCAAAGATACACTAAATTTGGGGGGGGAAGCTGGAGGGGGTATGAAGGAATGAGTTCGTGTCTTCCACAGTTCAACCTATAAAATCTTAATCATCTTTCTGTTGATCAAGAAACAGGAGTCAGATGATCTGCGTTCTATTTCTGCAGTGATTTCAGATGTGCTGTTATTAATTGAGTCTCTGCATGTGCAGTAAAGCTGGGTACTACTTTCCCCTCAAAGGAAACTTATTTTAAACCTGAAAATATCCAAGATAATTATTGTTTGTTTGTATTTTTTTTTCCTTGACATACTTTGGGTAGTTATTTACAGCTTGAACGATTATATTCAGGGGAAGTCAGAGATGAGGACAGAAATTTTTGCACTTAGGAAATTACTTTTTGAGAAGGTTAATACAGCAGAGAGTGTAAAAGTATTAATTAAGAAAACATTTCAAAGAAGAAGCTTGAGCAAAAACCCAGAGAAGGGTTTCTGAGTCTCCAGTCAGTTATTAGTGCTTCTCCATGGACCACCTCCTGTACCATCTGGAATACTGTATTCAGTTCTGTACACAGTGTAAACTGGGTCACACAGTTTCCAAGTACAGTGTTCTGGACGGGTTGATTTTTAGAGAAGAATAAACATAAGACTGATCAGAAAAATAAAGGAACTAAGAACATTTTTTTTTTTTCAGTGTTACAGAAACATGACTTGGGAAACCAAGAAAATAATTTTCTGGGATAATCTTTCCAAGGAATGAGAGGTCTTAGCTCCATGAGCAATTACGATAAAAGTTGAAGACCATGTACATTGACAGTATTCCCTCACTGCCAGAACAAAAGATAAAATGGTTACCTCTGTTTCACTCTTGACCACGTGACTGTGGAAAACCAACTCACGTTCAGAATGTTGGTGTTCTGGACAGCAGTCTGATATCTATTACAGAAGGGAGAAAAAGAGAGAAATAGCAGTATTCGCTTTCTTCTTCCTGATTAGAAAGTTCAGCAATAAATTGAGGAGTTTGATGCTGGAATGCTTGTGTTTGGGATTCTTTTCCTCCCAGATTAATTCATTAAAAAAAAAAAGGAAGACTTGTGGTTTAGAAAGGCAACAACAGTAGAGAACTCCATTACTTAATGTATCATAATGAAGTGCTGCTTTTAGCTTTGCCAAAACTTTGATGGAAAAAAACAAACTGAAGCTGCCTGTTTAGACTTCCTCTGTATGAAAGCCTGCTGCAAAGGATCCAGCTAGCTACAAGCAGCACCTAATTCAGTTTCTTTAAAGATGTGCAGTAAGGAAATGCCACTTTTAACCCATTGCAATTAAGTGTATGCAGATAAGAAAAGGGCTGGGAGGGAAAGGAGGATGATCCAGCAAAATTAAGCTGTTGCTTGTGACTGCTGGTTTGACAGCAGGAAGAAGCAGAAGCAATTCCTCTCCGAAGCTGTCAAAACTGTTCCTAGTTCTTTTTCTGCCTTTGCAAGGGCAGCCATATAAGGCAGATAGAAGGGAGGGCTCCTGCCTTGGTCAGGGTGGGACTTGATAAGCTGAGACAGTCAGGCAGCAGCTTCTCTCCCTGCACCTATTCAGGGAGTATGCTACGTGGAGCTGAAGGAGCATTAAGGAGAAGGAATAGAAGGACATGCAACAAGATAAAGTAGGTTCAGGGTTTTCTGTGTTTTGTGTCTGACTGTGGGGGATGCCCTGTTTTGATCAAGCAGGCTAGCAAATGTGTTTCAAGTGGCTTTGTTTGCAACTGCTGGGTAGCTGGCCTTTGCTTCAAGCACTTGGCTAGATAGCCTCAGCACCCTAAAATGAATCATATGGAAGGAGTGTACTTCTCATAGATGTTTCTTGTGTTCTTGTTATAGTCACACTTTGATGAAGGTCTGTGTGTTTTAACTTTAATATTCAGTCCCTCCAGCTTTTCATTGTTCAGAGAAAGGTTGAGGGAAAACAAGTATTTCTCTATTTGCCATAGCACTAATGTAGAAATGCATCAGTTCACCTTACCATGGCCAGTGTTCAGAAATGAGCATGCTGTAACTGACATTCTCTCTCTAAATTACTTGATTCTGCTGAGAATAAAGTAACTGAAAATGTGGTTGTGAGTCTCTCCTCCTCTTCAAAAGAGCAGTAAGCTGCAACTCTATGGCACGTGGGATTTATATTGCAGATAACTACGTTACAATATGACATTACAGACATAATTTTAACATTGACATCAGCAGTGCTTTGAAGTTCAAGTACATCTCGTGGTACTTTTAATAGTCTAATATTTTCACAATTTTTTCATATTTCTGTTTTAGCTAAGCATGTCAGATAAGGAACCTTTTCATGGTGGTGTGAAAGAAATGAGGCAGTAGAAAACAGTTACATTTCAGGAAGACAGATGCTCTCAATCTCACAAAATTATTAATATTGCTGCTAAGTATTTGTATTCACAGCAGTTTAAATCTGCCCCATGAAATACATATTGATCTATAAGAGCCTTATTTTCTATTTTGTGTTCTCTAGGTACTTGCTTGAGAGTAGCAGAGTTAGCAGCAAACGCTAACTAAAGAAAGATAGAGATAAAGAAAGAAAGAAAGAAAGGTAAAGAAAATCAAGAATCAGGCCAGGAATCTTTCATCTTTTGCCTTTTAACAATATTAACCTCTCAGAGACAGTTATTATTAATGGCATTGTAATTTCTACACTTGATTAGAGTTGTTCCTGAGTACCATGGACTGCAAGATCAGATCTCATAAGGTGACTGAAAGAATTTATTTAAAATCTTTTTGTAACATTGATGCTCAAGATAAGAACTCCTGAGGTGTAGGTGTTAAGTTCAAAACTTCAATCAGGTGTATTTCAGTTAACAGCAAGTTTATAAATTCTAGGACATTTTCACAGGTCCACTTCTAATCAGGACACTTCAAGAACTGCTCAGCTTAAAATAATGTCAAATGGGTCAACTCCCAAGGCAATGCTGCTGCTGTATTTATGTTGCACTGTTTAAATAGTTTTAAGATTCTTCCCTCACAAATGTAACTGTGAATCTCAATTTTCTTTCTTCCTCTAGAACTCAGCCTCTTTCCTTTTCCAGCCTCCTGTTGCTTCTGGCATCTAGCATGCAGCATTGTCTAATACGTTTCTCTGATTTAATTTCAGAGGCTGTGAGTGACAGCAGGTGACAGGCTGACAGCTCACACTTGTGTCACAGAGAAGCTCCATGATAACAGCAGAAAGTCATCCTATCAGCTGCTGGAGAACACCCTCAGCAGTGAGGACATACAATACCTTCTGTGTGATTTTAAATATTGATCAGCGTTAGTAATACCTGTGTGTTATTACAGCATGTCCTGTGATAGTGGAGAAACTGTTGGGCACCCCATGTATAACCGCTTTGGACAGGAGCAAGGATCCACTTCCCAGCTGAGTAGTCTAAACGGAAATAGGGAATCTGCAGCGTTGCTCGGAGTCAGAGGGAGCTTAAGCAATATGCAGTATTCTTCTGTGGCGCTGGATCCAGAAACCCCAGGGAATAATGGATCCGGGATTCCCCACAACCCTGAGGAAGGCACAAGAGATGTAGCCTTGGCAGAAGGTGAAGTTCGCAGGGCCTGTACAACAAAGTGTTTCTATAGCCGTTACTTAGCTAAAACTAGTACGCAGGGAGATGTCTACAACTTCCTGGAGAGGCCCAGTGGATGGAAGTGTTTTATCTATCATTTCACTGTGTAAGTACCTACATTTTCACATCATATTTGATGTAAGGAAAATCAAACCGTGCCCTTAATCAGGCAGAAATCATACTTGAGTAGCATTGTCAGTACTTGATCTCCTGGGCTGAACACCTGTTACATGAGTAATCCTACTGAAAGCAATGCAAAAGCCAGTTTCTTGAAGGATCAGATGCTATCCATTAACATTTCCAGAGGAGGGCTTTTTATTTTTCACGTGATATTTGTCAGGTTTACACAGTGTATTTGGTATTTCTGAGGGGAAGTCGTATATGCTTGTGGCAGTTTTTATTGCTGCCTTAGCTGCTTTACGTTGTTCTACCTTCAGACACTGCAGTTTTTATCATGGCATGTGGAAGGTTCAGCTGTGATGACAGTCAATAAGTGTAAGTCAGTTTTGCTCATGCTGAAGTGCCAGAACAAGTGATCTCTTGGATATTCATAACATTACTAATTTGAATTAATTTACAGCCATGAACACATAATGAGTACAAATTTAGCAAAAATTTTTCATTATACCTTGTATGTAGTACACACAATGATGAAATTAAGGCTTCCATTTACCCTTGCAAAACAGTGGTTAATATATTAGTACAGCTGTTACTGTTTTATTTGAGCTGCTTATAGTACCTGTCAAGCTTGGCAAGACCTCAGTTACTGTTTTGAATGCTGCTTAGAAGAATGATAATTTATCATTTTAGCTGTAGAAAGGGTCCAGTTGTGCTCTTGATGAGGCAAGAGGAAGTTTTACTGACTATAGTGTATGTAAACTGAGCCAAAAGTCCTTGCTTTTATTATAAAATTAGCATATATCCTAAGGAAATGCAGAGTGTTGAAATGACTCTGTTTGTCTTAGATGAACTTTTCTGTGACGTGACTGCATCTTGGAAAAACCATTATCACTTACTGTAGTCAGTAGCTGCCCAGAGAAATATATGGTAATTCTAAGAATGAATCATAATGCTTCTATTTGGCATGGAATAGATGGTTTTATTAATATTTACTGCCTTTCACCACTCAAAATCATATATGGATTTTTTTAAAAGGGTTATTTGATTCATGAAATTTTGCCAAGTAAAAGGATAGGGCCTCTTTCAAGTATGCTTATAGTATACAACAGTCCCTAAGGCTTAAACGAGTGTAATTTTGTGAAGATTCAAATATGTGAATGGTAATGATTTAAGTCTATTTGGGGTTGGGTCCTCTTGCTAAAATACAGTTGTTTCATCCTCTGCTTTCATCTCATACCTTTAGTATGGATTTATATTCTGCAATGGTCATTAAAATAAATAAATAAATAAATAAATAAAATCTACGCACATACACCCATCAAGAAAATTGGAGAAAATAGGATTTTTTTTAACTGTTCAAGGATTCCTGACTTTAACGAAAGAATATGTAAACTGACCTCCTTTAAATGCTTTTTCTTTGAGATTACTTGAAACTTTTTAGACATAATTTTTGGCCAGTATTTTTTCTTAAGAATATTTGTCCTACTAATTATCCCAATAACTACATGGCGTGTTTATTTACATAACAAGTTTCTGGTTTGGAAAGAACATCCTTTACAACACTAATTATCACTAAATTTAAACATTGTTAATAAAGTGCTAATCTAAAATACAATTAATTCGATAATGAGAACAAGCTGTAATTTCTTATAAAAGGTTTCCCATGTTGTATCTGTGGGTTTGGGGTAATTTATGCAGAGTTGATATGATGATGACTGTTTTCATGACAAATGCATTCTTCCAAGTATGTAGATGATGTTTGTATAGCCTGGAGGAGCTGGATGTGCAGTGTCCCTTCATTGTCCTTTCGTCCTTCATGTGCCACAAAGATCTCATAATTTATATATAAACTTGTGGGACTTTTCTGTCCAAGAGGGACTGGAGTCTCTTCTGATCTGGAGCCAGTTCAGCTACAATCCCCCTAACTTTCCAGAAACAGGCAAGGCGAGGGAACAGCAAGTGCTCCAGGAGGTGACCTTCCTCTTACATTCTGAAATTACCAAGATAATATCATCTCCTATAACATTTGTAGTGTGTCTGATGCTTCAAGTTCCTTTTAAGGGAGTAAACTCGTGCTTCTTAAGGAACTTTATAATATGTGTTAGAAAAGGGAATTATTTTTACCTAATTAAATCTAGAATTTGTGTTGTTTTAGTGGAGTTATTCTAAGCTAAAATTATGGTTTCAAAACAGAACACTTGAAGGAGTGAGTGGATTTGCTTGAGAATTCCCCCTCCCAGTCCTGGAAACCTCACTAAGGTAATTTTCAGCTTCACTGTAGGTACTGTGAAAAACTTAACTCCTGAAATCCCCAGGAACAGGGTAGAGGATCTCGCTGACAAGTTAGAAAGAGGTGTGGGCTTGAGAAACAGCTGTGATGTGCAGTAGTAATATATTGACCCTAACCAACCAATTCTTGTGGCTATGTAAATCTTTAAGGCATTGGATACCAATATATGTTAGAGTCCAGCTTTTTGCCATATGGTCCTCAGTCCAGAAAATGAAGTGTGTGCCTGGCTTGAATTTGATGTCTAAACTCAGCTATGCGCTTGATTTAATCATAGCCAAATGTGAAGATATTAGGGTATAAACCTCATATTTCATCTTTTGAATGAAAGATAAGTCTATCTTGGTGATGAATTCTGGATGGTAATGAAGTGGCAAATCCCCACATTTAAATCATTTAATTGCAAGTGGAGCCTTATTTATGTCATGTTTCTGAAACAGATATATATATATATATATTTAATTACAACTGGAATGGCTTGATTATAGTTTAGAATATTGTGTTAATTTGGCTAAAATGTTGTGTTCACATACATTTGAACTGAGTGGTGAGGGGTGAAGTTGGACAATTTTCCTGATAGTAAGATTATTGACCCCTATTTAAAAACAGGTAGAAATGATCATAAACTAAACTGAGAATTATGTAGATGCTCAGAGTGCTAGAAGGCAGTTGTGGTGGGCAATGTTACACTGCCAAGCCTTTGCAGGCCACCTTGGCCATTGGCAAAGGGTGAAGATGGTCCAGTTTTTCTGCCATGTTTGTAGAGTCAACGAACCAGAAGTAGGAAGGTATGACTTAAGCCTGTTGAAAGAAGAGGATCACTCTATGTGCACCCTCATGCACTCATACACTGAAGTGGTCAGCAGTAATAAACCGGTATGGTTTAACTTGGGTTCAGGGAGAAGAGGTAACTGATCGCTATCTTGTTATTTTGTTCTGTGAGTGATGTAGGCCACCTTGTGTCGGCTTAAGGCTATGTCTACATCAGAGCTCAGCCCTGTGCTGCACAGCTGCACAAGCCCAGGTTCCAAGAAGAAAGCAACTGAGTTTGCACAGATTTGCACCAAGGCTAACCGGCCTTATATCTGAGCAAGCAAGGTGGATCCATAGTACCTTTTCCCCTCAGATACACCCTGTTGTTTTTACTCACAGCAGTCCAATTGCCTTGTTCTATCTTTTCCATTTCTCTGGAACATCCTAATTGTGACTTAATTTTGGTCTTTTCAGCTGCTGTTGGCTGGGTAGCTTTTTTTCAGTTACAAGCCAGAAGCTTAGAGGGAGCCTGGGTGGGTAGCACTTGGACTAAGAAGTGAGGAAGCAGAATAAATGGCTACCTGAGTGTGGTGAAACAGGGACAGAGGAGAACCTGGGACCTGTAGACAGAAGGCTAGATTGTGTTGTCATAAAAACAGACTGGTGGCAGTGATGTTGAAACTGGAGGAAAAGCAGTACAAAAGCAGGCTAGCTCAAGAACAAAGGGAAGCAGACTTAAGCAGGAAGGACAAATTAAAAAAGGACTAGCAACTTTTGGAGATCAGAAGTCTAGATATAGGCACAAAGAATTGGATCTCTGGGACAGCTGTATATGGTCAAGAAGTTTAGAGAGCCACTGGGAGGAAGAAGGGGTAGGAGATGACATCTGGAAGCTAGGGGAAAGAGGGAGCGTGGAATTCATGACGGGAGAAGGCACCTTTCACCCATAGGCAACTGGTTTGAATCTTGTCCAACATAATAGTGAAGAAGTAATGACTATGGGGAGATACAAAAGGAGCTGTTGGTCTCAGTCCAGTTCTTAGCGAACGGATGTCAGCATCACTGCTGGAGTTAGCACAGCTGGAAGGCTTGCTGGCAGTCAGTAGAGAAACCACAGGCTGGTTGAAAAGGGAGGCAAGTCTAAGGCAAGAGGGAGGCCCATGAGAGGGACTCTGAGATTGTGTTCTCAGGCCTGCCATTTTCTTGTTGTGTAACACTGTTAAAGTTTAAGTGAGAACTTGCAGCTGTTCCAGGTTACTTTGTGCTGGTTTGGCCACTTGTTAAATGAGTGTTAGACCTTGCTCTCATTTAAAAGTGAGACCAGTCTTTATATCCTGTAACTTCCCATGGGATGGGGTGAGCTGATCTGACAACCCATTTCTAACAAATTACCTCCAGTTCTGCTCTCCTTATCCACCTTAGCCATTCAGCTTCCTCCTGCCAACTCTAGCTGTCCTCGGATATCCTTGGATAACCTGTTCAACTTACAATGTTAGGAGAAACCTAGCCCAGCAGGAAAAAGTGGATGATCTTCTGTCATGTTAGTAGTACACATCCAGCATCTTGGAAGTACTGTCCACTATGGTTCTCTTAGTGCTCCTAGTGGATCATTGTCACCTGTTAAATTTAATATGAAATTGTACAGAATAATTGCAAAGTAACACTGCAAATCATCTGGCAAGTACTGCGGACCACCTGGTTTGACTGCAAAACATTTCACAAATGCAGAGTTTGCCTAGCAACAAAGTCTGCTCTCCAGGCTCATTTATGATTTATGGGGAAACAACTCCTCCAAATGGTGACTCAGAAAGAATAATGGCTATTGCTTTGAATCATTCCTAGGGGATGCTGCCTGTCTCTCTGTTGACTGCGTGGGAAAGATGAGGAGAGATTATGGTTTCACAAGAGCTGGCATAATAGTTTACTGATACAAAGAGTATAATGTTTCTTCTCTCACCTTCCCTTCTTCCTTCCTGGCCCCATATTTCTCCTGTGTAACATATGCTGCTTCTGGGAGTCACTGTAGCACACTTAACCTAAGTCAACAAGTAATGACAGAAGTCTAGCACAGCAAGAAGGTGAATAGCTTTTTGTTACCTTAAGGGGTTACAGCATGTCGGCAAATGGTCTGATGGTGCTGGAACCAGTACTAACCAGTTGGCCAGGACTGGGATGGGATGAGGGAGAGCCCTCTTTTTTTTTTGCCACTAGAACTGCGGTGTTAGCTCAGTTTCATATGAAAACCTTCTCTAAGTTTACTTTGTTACTTCATCCTTCAGACTGCTTCCCACAGCTTCTTCATAGAGAGGTACACACGTACACACATGTACATGTTCCTGGTAGCTTGTTGGAAACAGCTCATCTAAGGAATTACTGTTGAGGAATTTAAAAGTGTGTGATCCTTACAAAAATATGAAAAATATCAATAATGTCACTAACTTAAAACTTTGGGAGGAAAAGTGCAGATGATCATGAACATGTTTGTAAAACGGGGGCTGGACAGCTAAGGGTTTTTCTCTTTAGAAAAGATTCTGTGTACTGACATTTTTGTCACCATGAGTAATACAAAAAAAGCCCCACCAGAGTTCGGAGTATTGGGACAAATTAAAAATTGAAATTTTCTCTTACGATTGTTTCTCTTCATACTTTGCTTTCTCGTTTTTTTTCAGTTCTTCCACCTTCATGTAGAAATGCTGTAGTTGTATTCTGTTAATGCAGTTGAAGAAGAGCCACCATTCTGGCTGATACTCCATTTTTTTTTTTTGGCATACAGCTGCCAATTATGTAAAGAACATGAAAAGGCAAAAATATAAGGATCTGGTGATTCCTTTTAATGACTGTGGGGCATTTGCCTACATGTCGTGTGGTTGGTGTGGGTGTAGCAGCTCTCAGCTAGTGAAGCTTAATATATACATTGCAAGTAAGCTAGCATAGTGTTCCCCTGCTTCAGTTTTTATCTGTAAATGGAGCCTATAGTCCCATTATTTATAACTGTTTATGTCAAAGGGTCTTTTAGATTCCAATTTTTGTTCTTTCCACAATTATCTCTAGAATGCGAACAGATATTTTGCCTTTTCCAATGATGTGATTGTAACATGATCAACATGAGCAACAACTAAAGTTCAGAGTAATTATAAGCATATGACTGCTATTGAGATTCTGGTTTTGACCTCGATCTCACACCTTAGGTCTGGACATGGTGTGGTTTCATAAGGGTAAATTAGGGATTATTATTATCATCATCATCATCAGGCTTAGGGTGTTTCTTGCCAGCATAACAGTTACTTATTTAGACATTTTATACAGAATTGAACTGATGAATTTTCCAATTTGGAACTACAGTATCCACTTTTCATCTATAGTCCAGCTACAGAGAGGAACTAACCTGATGTCTATGATGATGAGCTTCAGGTACCAAAAGATGAGCAGTATTAAACAGAAGAAACTCAAGAACTAGGGATGCATGTTCAATTGGATGATATGGTGGAATAGCTTAAGTTGCTAATGGAAGTGAAGTAATATTAAACAGAATTGTCTTTAGGATTCTGAAAGTTCTAAGATTCAGCTGTTCTAAAAATACATGGGGACAGCTACTAATTTTTAGCCTCTTTTCCTAAGGATATGAGGTTTATTCAACCACACTGTCTGAGTGCATCTGTCTGAAAGTGCCTTACCAAAAACTTTTAATCCAGTTGGCAATTTCAACCAATATTGACAGAGGATGAGACATGCCAGAGATACTAAGTTACTTCATGTTTTGTTAAAATCAGCATTTGGATAGAGGAGAAATAAATTAATAACCCCAAAGATGAAAATATTTCATTTTGAGCTCAATTAGATTGGCACCAGAGAGTCATTTCACAAGAGAGATGTTACAAACGTTCCTAAGGAAGAACTGATCTGAGCATGCTTCACTTTAGGCACAGAATAACCTAACCACAGGGCACAAAGCCACAGAGTACATAAGTTTTATTTTCATTTTTTGAAATTATTGATGACTTTTTCCATCATTTATTTAAGAAATCCAATCCATCTTATTCTAGAAGCTAAATTTTGTAGTAGACTGGAATGAATACGCACTAATGTCTCCACAGGCTAATGTTGTTACTATAGTGAAACCATTTGTTTCTATAGTGAAAATAAATACTGTAGTGTGGCATTGATATGGTAATAGTAATGGAATTTGTTTATGCTTTTGTGGAAAAAACCCTTTGCTCTTTCATAAGCCAGCAAAATAAAAAGTTACTCCTTGATGTTAACATTACAATTGCTCATTAACTTGTGGACTTCACATGGTATAAAATTCAAGAAGAAAAGTGTTTATGATACCTTCATGATAATCAAGCTGGCATTAACTTATTGCTGAATATATTTGCACAGCATCATGATATGCATTTATTCTTTCCCCTTTTTTTTATACTGAACCTAAGAAACACCAATTAATGTGAGTTCTACAAAGAGGCTGGTTTTACTTTGTAAATGGCGGTGCTAATTTCCTGTCCCTGTGGATATGTGTCATAGATTATATGCCAAAACCTACTGATTTTTTGGTCTCACAGTCAAGGTCAGTGATAAATGTATCAGAATCATGGACACTGATCATGAAGTCAATGCTGAACTTTTTCTGTCAATGCTTAAAGAACTGATTAGGTCTCTTCCAGAAAGTCTTAGTCATATAGAAACAAAATGGAAGCTTGACTCCTGTGCCAGGGAAGGAGAGGACATCCAGAACCTCAAGATATGGAGGTAAGAATAAAAAAAGACAAACATAGCAGCACAGACTTTAGTGGAAGATACAGACACTCAGTTAAATCAGGAAGCTTAAATCCTAGGAATGTCAGGGCACTGAAAAAAAGATTTCTGTAAGATCAGTGGATTCATGAATGTGATTTGTCAGTTCTGGACTACTTCTGAATAATCAAAACTTGGTCTCCCCCTGAGTGACGTGTCACCAAACCATGTGTGCCCAGTCTTCCCCAGCAGCAAAACACAGGTCAGTGTTTATCCCGCAAAAGTAGGATAATGCATAGGCAAAACCCAAACCTTACTGCTCTGTAAAAAGCAGCAAATAGGTTCCTCAATGCTTTGAAAAGGTGAAATACTTTACTAATAGGAGCTGTGGATGTTTTAAAAATATATCTTTGGGCAGTTGATTCAGAAAGTTGCTTTGAAGTGGGAGATCTTTTTGTATGATGTGTGGCTCATGCTGCGATTTGAACAACATTGGTATTATCTATTGATTCAAACTAGTTTGTGGCAATTTATACATCTGCAGGTGAAAATACAGAATAGTAGTGTGTATTTGTAAGTTACCTTTTAGATTTTATAGGTGGTGTAGAAATATTACCTAGTTACTTCTGATTGGAGCCAACTGAACAACCTCATTTTACATGCAGTGGGGCTATCTGGCATTTCTGGGTGCACCCTAGAATGATCTGAAGGAAAAACTGAAAGCAGATATCATCAATATACCTATGTTATAGATGGAATTTTCCTTTGGTTGAGGGCTTCAAATACCTGAAAATATTATATTCTGAGACAAAACAGAAAGTCAGATATGCCCAAACTGCCTCCAGGCAGTCTGCCTGTTAGTGAGTCCAAAGCTAGGCAAGATTCCATTAGAACCTGTCTGGTCTCCTTTTCCAGTTCTGCTGAAACTAGCACATTCCCAGACTACTTTCTAATTTTAACATATTGGTATTTTCAGCAGAAAAATTGTTCCTTTACCAAAATTTCCAACCAACTTTAATTTGTGTGTGATCATATATGTATAAGCACAAGACCTTTCAACAAAACATCAAGCCTCAGGAGCCTGGAAATAGATCTGTGAGAGAACTGAGGAACATCAAAACTTGCCTGCAAAGGCACATGGACAACCTTCTCTTTATGACTTAGCCAGAAACTCCTTTGGATAACAAAAATACGTAAGCACTAGGGATGAGGTTTTATTCAGACTGGAAGGAATGTTTTCTAGAAGCACATGGCTAGTCAATATAAGAGTATAGTCCCATTTAGAAGAAAGTGAAGTACTTCATGCACTCAGGAATGGGAATATCTTGCACTTTTATAACATAAAAAAAATTCTCTCCTTAATTTTCCTGCCACAAAATAATCACTTAAAATAAAAAGCAGCCTATGCTTCTAGAGCCCCTCAGAGAACTTTCTGTTGGATACACTCATTTATTCTCCACAACAGAATACTAAAACTATTGGTCTCTGATGGACAACTCTGTAGTCTAGCATGAAGAAAAAAGCTGAAGCTCTAATGAGAGTAGTTGAACAGAGCTTTACTTGGGCATACTAACATCAATCCAATCTCCTTTTCTTGTAATTTAGCTGAAGCAACAGGATTTCTTCTGTCCTAGTGTGTTAGTAGAACAGAACATTTTGCCTTCGCCTCTTGCTGCAGCAAATGGTAGATAGGATAATAAAATTATCAAAGAAATAATAATAAGGAGGAAATTCTTTCCTGTTAGGGTGATGAGGCACTGGAATGGGTTGCACAGGGAGGTTGTGAATGCTCCATCCCTGGCAATGTTCAAGGCCAGGTTGGATGAAGCATTGGGTGATATGGTTTA